AGTATTTGGCGTGTGGTTGTGTTTGAATTATTTTTTCCCTTTTATTATAGTTTGACACAAGTTCACTCGGTTTTCTTTTACATTTGCACTATAGCATTGTAACAGAATAACCCTAAACCCAATCTCATAGCTAGTCATTAGTGTAAAAATCACTTTAAAGTTTTTATAATAGTATTAATTCCAGCAAATTCAGCCACATTTACAGTTTCATATTTGATTTTAATATTTGTTTTGCAATTTTTCGAAGAACTATTTGAAATATGGTCTTTGTTTTTCTTATCACTTCTTAATATATATTTTAATGTTTCAATAAAGATGTTCTAGTCATTATAATATATGCAAGTATAAATGTGGTCTTGTGTTATTCTGTTGTAAAAGAGAGAGACTGATTCTGGTGCAGCCACACGCGTTAAATATATAAGATAATATATACAAGGTGTCGGTCTGTCGACGCATACACATTGCAGCGAGTATGGATTCATTTCGTAGCAGCCAGCATATGAACACTGCAGTGTGTTTTCTTTTCAGTTATTTGCATTCCTGTACACCACCTATTGTCCATGGCAACCTAACCTGTGATACCATATTTATACAACACAATGGGCTCGTCAAAATCGGATCAGGTAAAACCCTACAGATACTATCGGTTTGTAATTAACGTTACGTCATTTCGTCCGTCACCAATTTTAGACCATTCTTTATTAACATTTAGTTATAAAAGATGGCAGTATCATCAAACGTACTTCCAAGTTACGTCCATAGATGGCGTCTAACCAAAAGGAGCTTGTCGGTCCGTTTTATGGTTGAATGTAATTTTAATTCTGTTAAGGAACATCCTGCGTGTTCTAATACGAGATCGTTTTGAATTCGTATTCGTAACAATAAATGATAATACGAATGTAACGATGATTAACAAATTGATAGTGACGCATTTGGAGTGTAAACTTTTTAATAACAGTCTTCTATTTCAGGCTCTGCGAAATAAAATGGTATAATATTTATTTCTTAAACATACTTATATATCTATTTTATGTATAAGAATTCTGTATATATTTATTATTTGTTTGCGTTTTGTTACAATTATATTTATCTTTCGATTTGTGACTATTATGTTACGTGTTTACAAAATAAATTAATAATTGTTTCATTTTTATCCTTTAGTTGCACCTGAGTCGATACACCTTCACGTGAAGACAGCTTGTCAAGATACGTTTAAAAACATGCATTTTTTTCCACCAGATTATCAAGGTAAGTATTTCAGTTTGGCTGCTTTTTTTTTTTTTTAATTTTTATCTCTCAGTAGCTAGCGGTTATCATAATTACATGTTCGTTTTGTCGATAATTAATATAGATAATGTTCTTCGAGAAATGTGCACACAAAAGGGTTAATTCGATATTATGTGCCTATACAGTATGTTTGAAGTTACCATTTTTAATTAATTTTCTTTTTATAGGCGCAAATAATCCAGCTGTAGATATTTATTCGTTTGGAGTTTGCGCCCTCGAAATGGCAGCATTGGAGATACAGGGTAACGGTGATTCGGGTACTACGGTCACGCAGGAAAACATTATGAAAACAGTCGAATCGCTTGAAGATCAGCAGCAAAAGGACCTGATCAGGCGGTGTTTGTCGGAAAAAGCCGAAGACAGGCCGACGGCTCGCGAACTTCTCTTCCATCCACTTCTCTTTGAGGTTCACAGTCTGAAACTTTTGGCGGCGCATTCTCTCGTCAAAACCACTGGCAAGTTAAATGTTTACTTAACAATAATCTACGACCGTTTTTCAGTAAAAGTGTTGCCAAAACTTTGCAAAAGTAATATTCTTGGTATATTCCCCAACGGAAACGCAATATGATGATGAAACTTACGATAAAACAAATTAATCCTGGTAACTTTTGGAAGTTTGAAAGAAAGTTTGATATATGTGAACGTAGAGGGTATCATACAGATGTGCTATAATAAACAATCGCCTGTCGCCCCTCATCCTAAGCCGTTTGTGTAGTTTTGATAACTAAAATTCTGTTTTCTTTTATAGCGAACATATCTGAAACGATAACAGATGAGTTGATGCAGCGGTTATATGCGCCGGATGTAGTGGTTGCGGAAATTAAACATTCGGATCCCGGACGTCCTGGACTCCAGTACAAGATGTCCGACATCCAGACCAATGAAAAACTCGAAAAGTTTGTCGAAGATGTGAAGTAAGTATTTCTATGAGTAATTGCAAATTGATTATAAAAATATTATTTTGGCAACAACTCAAAAAACACCTGTTTGATCACTTTTACGACCTATTATATTTTTTGTTTTCGTTTCAGAAATGGCATTTATCCATTGACTGCATTCGGTGCAAAGCAACCGCCACCTCCCAGGTCCAGGGCTATTTCCCCGGAAATGGCCGAATCCGTCAAGTCCGTCACTCCCGAACCTCTAGACGTAGAAACGCGGAAGATCATAAGCATGATGTGTGATGTAAAATCCGTCGAAGATAGCTGTGAGTTGTCGGTAAGTATTTGGTGTAGTTAAGGGGTCAATTCCGGGTTCCTGGATCATTTACTTTTTCATTTTCTCCTCAACCACCACCTACCCATTGCCACTATTCCTTGAAGGAGGTTGAAAGGAGCCTTCTGTTCTAACTAGCTTTTCTCGTAAATGGTAAAATTTTGTTGTTTTAGATGACCATTGTTCTACGAATGGACGACAAGATGAATCGACAATTGACTTGTCTCATTTCCCCGACGGATCTGCCGAGTACTCTGGCTCACGAACTGGTGTATTACGGTTTTATAAATGAGGTAAGTCAAACAGCTGTTTGTGACATTTGAAAATTTTGAGACCTTTGTACTTGTGAAATAATAAGGCGTCAGAATCAAGGTTGCAAAAATATTAATGTAAACGTAATGGGCTAACAATTAGAATCAGTATAATACTTTTCACATATCATGGCTTAAAAGGGAAATAGTACATTACATTTATTATTTTTTCTGTATTACCCGTTACATATGTTGGAATAAAGAAACGTATGAAGATGATAATAACAATGAGATATATTGGAAGCAATCGTCTAGGCTTTGAAGTGCAATTTTAGAACTAGGTATTTGTCTTCCAAAAGTATGCAAATATGTACGTTTGGAGTGTCTTAGAGTTTTGCAAGTGCTAGTTCTACCACGTTATCAAAAAGAAATCCTATTAATATGGCTTAGGGAAGGAGGATCTTGTTTTACGTCCCCATTGTTGACATTTATGATTTTCGTATCGAAGTTGGTTGTTTCTTTCGTGCGAAACGCGCAGGCTTATCAGGTTCACGGTGATTTTTCAGAGCGACTGCGATAATGTAGCCATGATGATTGAGGAGGCAAAAAAGAACGTGAGTTCGGGTCAGAGCGCCAGTCCGCCCACAATTCATCCGTTGCCGCAACTTTTTCCCGCCATAGCTATCCCGGCCCAGTTTGCAATACCGGCAACCGTTGCCACAACGACCGCGTTACCGACAACTTCGGCGCCTGCGCAACAGCAACATCAGCAGCAGCAACCGCCACAGATGGCAGCTGCCGCGTCGGTCGCGTCGACGCCCGCGGCGTCGCTCACGACCGGCGTCGGTATAAGTGTAATTTCGACGCCCACGCCGCAACCTCCCACCGCCGTAGTCACGCAAGTGCCCATGCACTCCACTAGTTAGTAACACTTAATTTTAATTTACTTCTAATTCGATTATTATTACTATTATTATNGTTGTTTCCGTCGCGATAAATTACATTATAATTATTATTATGATTATTAATTAATTATTACTATAATTATAATAACAATTGTCACTATTGATGCTGTCGGCGTCGTTATACAACCGGCGCCGGCGCTTTGTATAATAGAAGAAAACATCTCCAGTGTTGCTACTCGTAAAATATGTTTTAAGTAATTACTTGCATTAATCGTAGTAATTGCGAGTGACTATATTTAAAGGTCTCTACATAGTTTCACGTCCGATTATAAATTTTCAATTTAAGCTTTTATGTATTTTTAAAGTTGTTTGTGATATGGCTTTAGAAGTTATACCAAACTTCCTAGATTAGCAAGTGAGACCTTCCTAACAGAACGCTGAATTTAGAGACAAGTTTTCTGTTGACGTAAGCGAAAATTTTATCTGTCTAAGTAGGAAGTTGCGTACTCAAAATGTAGGCGAACGCAATTAATAATTGTCATGTGCTAGAATTACACCAATTCGCTCGTCATTAGTATTTTTAAGTTCCAAAAGTCTTTGAAAAGAAAACTATAAAATAGTAAGTATGTCAGTTTCTTTGTTGTCTTGTTCGTTCGTAATTAAAAAAAAAAATAAGAGTTCCTTTAAATATAGGCTGTCGTCGCATTCAAGTTGCGAACACTGAGACCGGTTCTCCTTTTTTTATAGACTTTAGGATCGAAGACTGTAATGCTGGACATTGATAGGTTAGGTGCGCTAGTCATGTGACCATGTGTTTATCTGTGATCAAGAAGTTCTGATGACATCTGCAGTGGACTGTCGATCCTGCATTCCACTTTACCGGGCTGCAATGCATTCCCTTTTCTATCTTTTTCTTTTCACATTGTAATGTACCACCGTATGGCTGTTAACATCAGTAAACTATTTACTGCGTCTGCGCTCTTACGCATTGTTACATCATTACGTCATACTAACTCCGTTTAAGTAACAGCCAATAAGAACACGTAGACTTGGTAACGAATCAGTATTGGCACCATTCATATAAGAACAAGAAAGTTTAGTATCTACGTATATTAGTAGAACATGCAGCGGTGGTAGAATCATCTTTCAATCATTTCTGGTGGCATTCACCAATATCCGATATTGTATTTGTGATCGATTTGAGATTTACTGAATCATTATACTTGTGATAAATCATATCGGAATTTTTGACCCTATGCTGTTAGTGAGGGTTTATTGAGATTTCAAATGCTATAAACGATATGAGTGAGTAAAGTTAATTTGATTTTTATTTTTAATCTCCCATCACTGCAAAATATTTCCATTTGCTTAATTTATTTTCTTAATTTCCCGTTATTTTTAAAGGATATTCTGTTTTATTTGAATTATTAGAAAAGCCTCCAAGTTAATATTTTTCTTTTATTTTGAATATTTCATTGCAATGCTAGTGTTTTTAATCCAAAGTTGTGACCTGTTCTGCAGTTATGGGATTTATTAGTAGGTATTTCAGTTTATTGAACTTTGACAAAAAATAGTTGCAGCCTGGTGGAGGCGGTGATTGTGGGGTATTTGTAATAAATAGGTACATATAAATGTGATCT